TGTTTAATTGATGCTGATAGAGGAATATTGACGATTAACACTAACTCATTAACGCACCAACCAATCATTACAAACATTTTTCTTATATATTTTCTCACAAATTGTATTGAGACCAACACTACATCAATTTCAATGATCTGACTAATCATATGAGTTTTCCTATACCATAAAAATAAGGCCGTAAAAATCAATCAGTAAGAATCTAAGCATTCAAAGTTATATATCACCATAAACTTTTTTCTGAGCTGTTATTTTTGTAAGAATCTCTATTCACGTGTTTGTATCTTTAAATGTGTCTATATGCGAATCAAATGAATTTTAATATTTATTAAGGTCTGTACTTTCTGAAATTCAAAGGTAACAATATTAGCGGAGGAACTATTGTACCCAATACAGTTTACCGTATGTTTTGGCTTCCCTGTTTCTTTCTTCTTCTTCTTCTTCTTCTTTTGTTTGTAATTTTGATAATTGAGATTTCATTGAACAAGAACAAAAAAAGAAACAGCCACATAATAATCACCAACAAACAACAGAAGAAAATGGGACAATCACGAACGTGATTTCATTGAATCATGTATTGCATTTAAGAAAATGGGACAATCACTTCTTTCCCCAAGATAGAAGAATTGTCATCTATCTTAAAGAAAAAAAATATCATTCACATTGAAACAAATTTCAATCAACCGGAGAGAGAGGCGTCATGGCGGCCAATGGTCAAGGGGCGTGGGCGGCACTTTAGTACAAGGCGGTGGAGAATGGGTAGAGAAAGGAGAGAAACCATAGAAAAAGAGAAGGAATATTGAAGAGTTTGGAAAGAAAATAACTTTAGTGAGGGTTTTTTTTTTTTTTCACTTGGTTAGGTCTGAGAAATGGATGAAATTTAAAGGTTTTTTCAACTGTCACATCGGCTTTTATATTACAAAAAAAAAAAAAAAAATTATTAAATTAGATCAGAAGCAATTTCTTAAAATGAACTTTTGATAGAGGTGTTTACCTAAATATCTGAAATGGGGTGTTTTGTTTCTCCCTAAAATTCCCCAATGTTGTCGGAGTAGGAATGCAGTAGGATCCGAAGAATGATTAATGGATTTCTTCAGAACCAATTCTAGTAGTTTTTTTGGGCCAAATGGTTCTGTTCTGTTCAAGACTTCTTGCTAAAATTTCATCTCTACTACCAAAACGGATAAGGCATAGTAAAGTAAAAATGGCTTAGGCAAGTTATTAACATTTTTTTTATGAGGGAAAAAAAGAAAAGGAGAAATTCTTTAGCAAGCTGTGACAATTTGTGTACCTTTATAAGTGACAAATTGATAGAACAAAATCAGACACCTCTAGCTCAAGGAATAGTAGGGGGAAAAAAGGCTCAACAATAAGATGCACTCGTTTATTTCACTGATTTGAGTTTTAAATTTTAAGTTTCTGCTTAAAAAGCTCTTAAAAAATATCACATTTAACTTTTTCTGCTATAGTAAAAAGCTCTCAAAAAATGTCACATCTCAACTCGAATTGAAAACTCGAATCCGCAAAGTGAACGAGACCTCAGTTTTGGATCTACTCTGACTCTGACTCTCTCTCTCACATTAATTGTAAGATTGCAAGGATGTTGTTTACGGGTGGACGGCAAAATGTAGAAGCTGCCAAGGTTCAGGATATGTCAGTTACTATAACAAATGAGGGAAGAGATCACTTGCAAATGCATTCCTTGTCTTGGAATTGGTATTTTTCTCACTCTTCCTTAAAATTTGCCAAAATAACTATTTTATATTTTATATAGTCTCTCCTGAGCTCAGTTAATGGCCAAAATTACAGAACCATGAGCAAAATTCTCCCCAAAATGAAGCTAAGCGCATTATCACTAGCTAAGTCATTTCTGGTTAAATATAAAGTTGATAATGGTGTACTTCCAGCAACAGTCTTTTTTTTACAATTAACACACTGTCAAAATAACTTAATTAAACATTTTCCCTCATGGTAGGAGATTAATCTTCTTGAGCAGTGGGAACAGAAATGTTAATGAGAGTTTGTTGGTTATTACTTTTTTACAGAAATCTGCGGACTTTAGCAAGTATGTTGCATTTTTTTTTTTTAACAGTAGTTAATTTCTATTGTGCTGTCTCTGGTTGAGAGTTATATGAACATCATCTTATTAACATTGTCAAAATTGACTGCATCTCAAGTCATTTTCTATGATCATGCTTCAGGAATTAATTGATTTATACGTAATGTTTATTGTGGAATTCAACAAAAAAAAAAAGTTGACAATTTGAATTGGAAATTCGGTGGTTATTCTTCTCACCGGATATATTATATTGTGTTTTCATTCTCTTTCCAGATCAGAACAACAAAAGGATTGTACTTGATTTAGATGCAAATTCTTTTGTAACGGGATTTGGGAAGGAGTATAATGCGTTGGGCTCTAAGTGAGCTCTAATGGCTATGGTATTCTTGGGTGAGTCTCTAGAGATGAGTACATAGAATTTTTGACACGGAAACTGATAGCGGGATAATTTGTGTAATTACATAAAGTTGGTGTTGATAATCAATTTTTTTATTTTATTTTATTTTATATTGATCCGTAGATATAGCTGATTGGTAACTGATTTATGCCCTTGTGATCCTGTGCATTTCTCAAACTAATATGTTTTAAAGAACATCTCACTGTTGTTAGTTATCATGTGATGGAATTTTGTGTAAGAACTCTAGTCAATCCGCCAAAGCAGAAAATATAGTTATTTTGATGACAAACAATTTTGATGACAAACAATCTCTTTCAATCTTTAGATTTATGTTTTGTAGGAAATGTGGGAGTTTCATGTGCAATTTTGATTTTTGATATTTTCTTTGGTCCCCGTGAGGGTATAATTTGATGAAATTGTTTCGTTGATTTTGAGAATTATGAAAATAATCTATTAGATTCTTTTTCAGCACCATAAATAGTAGACAGAAAGCATTTTTTTTTATTGAACTTATGAAATAATTTGGTAGATTATGAAGAGTAATCTATCTGATTATGAAGAGTAATTTATCTGATTATGAAGAGTAATCTATCTGATTATGAAGAGTAATCTCTCTGATTATGAAAATAATCTACCGGATTATTGAAAACAATTTGACACATTATGGCTGGCGACCAACGATCACCGATTGATGCCGGAGCCGGAGAGAATTTGTCATTTTTGGTTGAGAGTAGAAAATAATTTGGTAGATTATGAACATAATCTGTCAAATTATGGCCGTTGCCGGTGACCGATCATAATTTAACAGATTATAATCGCGCTGATAACTAGAGGCTCACCGACGGTAGCAATTGGGCAGATTATTCCATAAAAGACATATAATAATGATTAAATTAAAATCCAGCGTATGAAACCATTTAGAATTTACATATCATAATTTTTGTATCTTTGTTGTGTAGATTATTTTTGGTTTATTCTATTGTCATTTATCATCATTTTAATCATGAATCCATTATTTTAATTGGAGTTTTATTAGGTTTTGGTTTGGTTATTGAATTATTTAAGATATTTTTCATGCTATCACCTGATAGTCCTTACAATCTAATGATTTTTAGATTTGTGACACTCAAGTTTCAAATACTCCTCATTCTCATCTTCCAAATCTTCTTCTTTGATCTGCACAAGTTTCTTCTTAGTTCTTGCCCCTACGTTAAGAAATGCCAACATAATTTTCAATGAAATGTGAAAATTAAAACAATAAATTAATAACATAATAAACTAGTTAATAATTGCATAAATCACTACAATTATTTTTCAGTAAATTAATACACAACATAATTACATAATAATTTAATTAATAATTATATAGTTCACTAGCCATTAATTAACTAAAAAAAGTTAAAAAAATATAGTTTATCATATAATTTTATTAATTATGAAGATAAGAAAATCTCATCTATTTATAGATTACCATTACAAGTAAATAATAACTAAGAGATTTTTATAATTATACTGAACGAAAATTATGTAATATGCGGGTAGATATCCCTATAAAAAATTATCTAAAAGAAGATAATATTTTTTATTTAAGAGATTTTTATAATTATACTCAATAAATATGAAAATTATTTAATATATTGGTAGGTATTCGTACAAGTAATTATCTAGAAGAAAATAATATTATAAATATAAAGAACAATCCGGATAGAAAAATTTTTGATTTGATAATTCTTAATTTTTGTCTTAAGAAGAAAATGGATAGTTAATTGTGAACTTCTTTGATAATACATATTACAAACTATAAAACAGCAAAACAATACATTAAAAAACGCTAGTTGTGTTTAAAAACGAGAAAGAGAGAGGGAGTGAATAATAAAATAGAAGGACCTGTATTGCATCTTATCTTAAATCTTAAAAAAGTAGTTAATCTTGAATAAAGAAAAGGAAAAAGATCAAATAAGAGCCACGTTTCCATCAACGTGACACCAAAATATAGAACACAAGACAAAAGTCTCCGCGACAATTCAGACTAAAAAAAAAAAATAGCCGTATTTATTACTGAGAGTTAAAGAAGAAGGGTGAGTAGAACTGTAGAAGTAGCGTCAGTTTCTCAGTGCTATTATATTCTTGCCGGAGATGTTCAGACTTTAACATGGTTTTATTCTTCCTCTGCAGTTGAAAATCACTTTAGGGTTCAACTTCCCTTCTTTGTCTTTTCAAATCACACTCGAGCAGCAATTGAAAAGGGGCTTAAACAGCAGAAGAAGAAATCACCTAAAAAGAGTGGAGGAAAATAGGCCAGGATTCGAGGGGAATTAAAATTATAGATTTACAGCTCGTTTAATTCATAATTAAAATTATGAGATTAAAATTATTTTTAATTTATATATATTTTTATAAAAAAATATATTATAATTAATTATAAATTATGATAAATTATGATTCAACTCAGAATTTTGTAGTTAAAATTTTACAAAAATTAGTACATATGCCAATTTAAGGTAAATGTATAACTTTTAAATCTCGCCCTATTTCTTACTATTTTCTTAAAGCCCGAAACCCTCCTGATTGTTTCTTTTAAGAAAAACCCTAAACCCTCCCGATTGTTTCTCCTGTTTTCTCACAAGTCTTCCCTCTCTTTGTACTTCCTATCAGCCATCGTCCTCTTCTCATTCAATACAATTCCAAATTCCCAATTACGAACTCCCAATTCTACATATCTTCCTTTAAAACCCTAGTTTCCCTTCTTTGAAAAAAAAAAACAAAAAGTCAATCCTCCATTGAAGAAGACGAGATCGACCACAATCAACAATGGAGGACTCGGAGGGAGTTCTCAGCTTCGACTTCGAGGGCGGCCTCGACACCACCGCCGGTGGCTGCCCTCCCAACGCTGCCGCAGCCTCCGCTGCTCTAATCCACCCCGATTCCTCCGCCGCCGCCGCCTCCAACAATCTCGCCGCCTCAAACTCCGCCGTCTCGGCAGACCCCACTTCCGGTGGCGGTGGCGGTGCCTCCAATCCCGGACGTGGTCGGAGCTTCCGGCAAACCGTGTGCCGGCACTGGCTGCGGAGCCTGTGCATGAAGGGGGAGGCCTGCGGGTTCCTGCACCAGTACGACAAGTCGCGGATGCCGGTCTGCAGGTTCTTCCGCCTCTACGGCGAGTGCCGCGAGCAGGACTGCGTCTACAAGCACACCAACGAAGATATCAAAGAATGTAACATGTTCGTATCCGAAGCTTCCCTTTTCTTTTTCAATTTTTTTCCCCTGGGGAAAAGCTCTTTTTTGATTGTGAGGTGGTTTAGGTTACAGAAGAGGTGAAACGTTGCCGAAGATTTGGTTTTTACTGTTTTAATTGTTTGGTGATATTGTTTATGTGCTAATTTGGAGTTTCTAGTAAACAAGGGAAGTCAATAAAAGCTTGATTTCTTTTCAATAGTTACCTTGTTCCATGTTGCGCCTACTCACTTCTCTTGTTAATAAAATCTGTTTAGTTTACTTGAGGAAGGGGGATAGAAATTTACATGAACTTGTTCAAGTGGAACTACATGGTTTAACATATGTACACATGTATATGTGCATAACACACACACACACACACACACGATTTTCAATAGTTAAGTCTGTAACCAAAGGAAGTGATATGGATTTATTTGAGTTTGTGGGTTATCGGATTTTTGACTTAGTGTAGGTACCCAGATATAACTTTTCTCTGGGAGCAAATGAGGATTTGATGCTCTTTCTGTTGTTCTGAACGCGCCCTTATTTATCTGATATGTCATTTCATTGGGCGTATGGTTAAAAGTCTATGTGCATATAATTTAATGTGAATGTTTTGTAATTGCAGGTACAAGTTAGGTTTTTGTCCAAATGGTCCAGATTGCCGTTACAGACATGCAAAGTTGCCTGGACCTCCACCCTCTGTGGAAGAAGTCCTTCAGAAGATTCAGCATTTGAGTTCTTACAACTACCACTCAAACAAGTTTTTTCAACAAAGGAATGCTGGGGGTTTTGCTCAACTAGGAGAAAAACCTCTGCTTCCACTTGGCCCTAATGCGGTCAGTCAAGGTGTCGTCGGAAAACCGTCAATATTGGAGTCTGCTAATGTCCAGCAGCCACAGCAGCAGGTACAGCCGTCCCAGCAACCTGTTGGTCAGAACCAGATACAAAATGTTTTCACTGGCCTGCCTAATCAGGCAAACAGAACAGTAGCACCTCTGCCTCCAGGAATATCTAGGTGTGTTCAGAGACCTAAGGTCTTTTATTAGGTTACATGCAAATCAGTTGTTTTGTGCTCTTTGTTGGACATTAGTATAGGAGGTTATTATCGATCAATAACTGCCCAATAGAGTTATATTGAGGTGTAATTAGCTTTTTCCTAAACCTATAGTTGTTACTTCTATAAATACTTAATGCTGTACACTACTTGTATTTTAACCATTTAATGTATGGATTTGCTTTAACTCGTCATTAAAGTGTGTGTTTGCATGGAGTATCTAAAATGCAAAGACTGATTTTGGACTTTCCTTATTTCTGATCTGTGTCATGCTTTGGGGATTGACTGATTTATCACATCTCTTGCTGGTCTTTTTTCTTTTATCAAAGCTCCCTTCAACAAAGAAAAAGGAGGAATCAGTTTAGCAACACTTTCTCTCCATGAATCTGTTTGATATAATAAACAATATTCGAGGCAGATTTGTTTTTCCTTATTCTATGTCATTCAGTTAATCTGAAGCTCAATTTGCACCTTGAATGTGAAAGGAAGTACGGTCTTTTTTCCTTGTGTTTTGAATCTACACTATATTTAGCTCATTCCTCCGTTATGTTTGTATAGAAGGTACTTGGTATCATATTGTATGATTAGCATTTATTTTTCTTTAACCTTGCATCTTAGTGATTCTACAATAAACTTGTTCAATATCAAAGAACAATATAAATGAGGGACGCATTTAGGTATTGTTGTTTCTTCTAGTTAACTGCTTGCTGGAGGACGCAACTGTGACTTAAGTGTAATTTTTTTTCCCCCTTTCAAAATAAAAGGTTGCTGGGGTTTTACTTTAGATTATAAAGACTCAATATTAGACCAAACTTCAATAGAGATGTGTGGATTGTATCTTACGTAGGGGGGAAAAGTGTCAGCTAGCCTTCTGGGAAACTGGGCTAGTGGAAGTTGAGTTATACGCAGCTTTGCAAGTCAAATAATTTGGAGTGTAAGGTTGAAGAACTGTATAAACTTTTCTTGTAAAAGAAATGGTTGGATAAACATTTATTGCGTTATTTATTCAAATTAGTGACATTATAAGCTGCTAATGTGTGAATGGTTTAATGGTATGTGCATAATGAGCTCCTGGTGTTTTAACTTCATAAATGTGAAGGCTGATTCTAATGCATGTTATATTTCCAGTGAGAATGGACATAAATTCTATTAATGCTGCATCATGTAACACTTATTTACTAAATGCTGTATGGTTTAAGGAGTATGTTTCTTCTACGCATTGCGTTGTCAAAGGACTGTGAATTGCAGAATGTTTTGATCTTAGAAAAAAAAGTATTCTGTGGTAAAGTCTTCTTCTTGTGTTTGGGTGTAGTTGGAGAAAAGTAATCAGCATCTTTCTTTTCTGTGTGGACTTCTATTCTGATGGTCCAGAGCAATGTGTTGCATTTTGTTGTTGTTAACTGCATGCATGAATTTCCGTCCACGAGAGCACAGAGCAATCCGTTTACATAACTTTCTTTTTTGGGATTCTGTGTCATCTGAATTCCCTTTCCTAGGATCCCACTTAACTCGGACCAATACTCTCACTGACTTGTCCTTGTACAGAGTTCTACTAGTGTTACTGCTCGGTCAAATGTGCCCATACAGTTATAAGACCATCTGGCATAGTTTAGAAAGTAAACACTTTGTATTGTCCCTGTGCATTCTCTAATTTTATTTTACCCTTTGCATGGTATATTGTAGATGTGTGCGTGTGAAAAGTGCCTGGTTGGGGTGCTTTTATACTTCTGATGGTCAGTTGTAACAATGAGTTGAATAAGTTGGATTACTACTATCATTCTTCCAGCCAAAGGAAATTCATTGAATTTTTCTTTTGCTTTTTTGTGTTCTTTTATCTTCTTCCAGTTGATGTGTGTTCCTTTATTCTATTTCTTCTTTAAATAAAAAAAAAAACTGGTGTTTCTTTTATTGGAATTGCATCAACTTAATTTATTTGGAAACATGAAATTTAGGTATTTTATTGTAAAAAGTTGCAACCGTGAAAATCTGGAATTATCTGTACAACAAGGAGTATGGGCAACTCAAAGGAGCAATGAAGCTAAACTTAATGAAGCTTTTGACTGTGCTGAAAATGTAATCTTAATTTTCTCAGTCAATCGGACTCGGCATTTCCAGGTAGTTGCAATTGGATGTCCCATAGTACTAAATTTTGCTAGAGACTTTGTTTCCAAAATGTAGGTTTTACATGGTCTGCTATTCCCCTCAAACAATACTTTTTGCTCTGCTGGAGATGTTAAACATCAATTGGCTGTGCTTTCTTAGGGTTGTGCAAAGATGATTTCAAGAATCGGTGGGTCTATTAGTGGGGGAAACTGGAAATATGCGCATGGAACTGCGCATTATGGGCGGAATTTCTCAGTCAAATGGTTGAAGGTAGTTTTCTTTAGTTCTGAGATTTGTTTCATTCAATCGTGGAGTTATTAGTAATGGACGTTTTCTTTTTATTTGTTCCGCTTCTCATAACAAGCTAATCTGTTAAATTTCAAAGTCAGCTTGATAATCGACCACTAAAATATTTAGAGTAAATAAGTTAATAGTGTTTGTATGCGTAGTCAGGCCTCTTCTGAGTTTTCTCAATCCTACCTCTGCACCATTAAGTCAGGACTGGGTGGAATAACTATCACAACTTTGAAATCTGCAAAAACTAATGGAAGCGAAAAGAACTCCCTAGTCTCTTGAAATAGTAATTGTGATGATGATTCCCCACCCCACCCCCCCAACCACCACCACCACCACGATAAAGTAGTCTTTGCTGCAATGCCTAATTGCTTTTCCGATATGCAGTTATGCGAACTATCCTTCCACAAGACTCGCCATTTAAGGAATCCGTACAATGAGAACTTGCCAGTAAAGGTATTATTCAAAACCTTAAATCTTAAAAGTTACTCTTTTGCTAAAGGTTTTCTTTTCCCTGGTTTTCTTTCTCCTTCTAAATATGATATTGATGTCAGGAACTTAAAAATACTTCCAGCAGGTTCAGTTTTTTTCTTTTTCTTATTTTTTCTTATTTTTTGGCAAGGTGCTTAGTTGTGAGATAAATTTTTGAATTGCTCATGGTTTAAAAAATCGTTCGCCTCGAATGCCTTGAGGTGCGACTGAAACTGAGGCAGCCACTCGGCGATTCGAGGCTTACGATTTCCACCTACTGAACGAGGCTTACGCCTCCAACCTTTGAGGCATCTGCCTCAAGGCTAATTGTCTCGAGGCTTTGCCTTGAGGAATTTGAGGCACACGTGCCTATTGAAGCATTTTGGGCTGGCTTTATGATTTTCTAGGTGATTTTTTTTGGGCTGCTGTTTAAGCCCCTTTTTAACTGCTGCTGGAGTGTGATTTAAAAAGAAAAGGATTAATTACAAATTTCTCCTGAATTACAGCCCCTGTAACACGTTGCCCCTTGATCTTTAAAGCGCAATATATGTTCCCCTGAACAATGAAATGTTAACAAAAAAACCCCATCCGTTAGGTTTTTAACTGAAATTGACATTTAATTTGCTATTTTGAGAGTATTTCTATAATTTTATAGTTTAAAATTTAATTTGAATATAAACTAATTTAAATATTAAAAAAAACCTCGTAAATTTTTTTTTATTCTACCAAAAAAAGTTCATAAAATTTTTAACTTACATTCAATCAATAGTGGATGTATCATAATTAAAAGTTCAAATTTAAATTAATTTTAAATTCAAAGTAAAATTTTAAACCATAGAGCTACCAAATACCCCAAAATATCAAATTACATGCCAATTTCCCTAAAAAAAAACCTAAGAGGGGGATTTTTTGTTAACATTTCATTGTTTAAGGAGAATAGATGTTACATTTCAAAGATCGGGGGCCAAACTGTTACAAGGGGTACAGTTCAAGGAGAGCTTTTGTATATAATCCAAAAGAAAAAAGAAGGGAAGTTGAACCCTAAAGCGACTTTGAACTGCTGAGGAAGAATAAGACCATGTTGAAGTCTCAACATCTCCGGCAGTAATACAATAGCAACGCCGGCGACTGAGAAACTTGACGGTACTTCTACTCACCCTTCTTCACTCTGATTAATGGAGACATCTTTTTTTTATTTTTATTATTATTATTTTTTTCACATTTCACTGAAAGTTATGTTGGCATTTCTTAATGTAGGGGGCAAGAAGAAACTTGTGCTGACTAAAGAAGATTTGGAAGATGAGAATGAGAATTATTTGAAAGTTGATGGTGTTTATGTTCATTTTTTGATTATTTAAGGCGTATTTATATGATTTTTTTGTGTTTCATTCGAGGCTTATGCCTCGATCCGCCTTGAGGCTTATGCCTCACCTCGACTATAGAAAATGCCTCAGTTCCCATTTCCGCCTTTTAAAACCTTGGAATTGCTTGGTTCATATTCTAATACAATTTATTGAAATACTGCTTTATGCAAACTCGAAAACCTTATTATGAGCTTAAAACATGAAAGTTACAAGCACATGTTTGTATGTTAGTACATGTCTTATGCTAAACTTGCTTGCGTTTTCAAACATGTAAATGAAGCATTAAAATGGAGAAGCCAAAACAAACTAACTCTAGCTTCTATCAAGTTGCAGTTTGATGTACTGAGCGAGCAAATAAGAGAGAACTCTTGAAACTTCATTCGCCTACATACATAGATATACATATATGCATGTTACTGCATCACCAAATCCTTTCACTTTCAAGTATCCTTATTCACTAAGGTGTTTTTGTCTAGTATAATTAGAGTTTCAATTGACTAGATTTCATTGTCATATTTCTCAGATTAGTAGAGATTGTCAAGAGCTAGAGCCCTCAATTGGTGAGCAGTTAGCTTCGCTGCTTTATCTTGAACCAGATAGTGAACTTATGGTATGTTCTCCTTAAAAATATCGGAAGATAATATTAATTAAGAGATTATGTTCAGGCAGAAGGAGAAATTTTAATTAATTCTTAATTAGATGCCACTCAGTCTCTCATGAGATATATAGCATTTGATATTATGGTGTAATAATGTGCATTCCACATTGTTATTTGTTAAATGCTAATGCTTTAAATTCGGGTCATCAAAATAAAAGGATAGCTATGGGCCATGGCAATAGAATAAGGTACCCTAGAGGTCCATTTGTGGTAGTTTTTGTTTTCACTTTTATACCCCGTTCGCTAAGAAGGAAAGAGAGGACTAGAGGAGGGATAGAAAACATGTAAGGGATAGAAAATATGAATAAGAAAATTATTTTTCCTTTACCTAGTTTGGTATGGTAGGAAGGAAAAAATGGGTGATTAAGTGAAATGACTATACTATCAATTAATTGATTTTCTTTTGCTTTGAAAACGAGCATAAATAGGTAGATTAAATTTTCTAGTAACAAGTTTTCTCTCCAAAAGTCTCCACACTTTTTGGTGGATAAAAGGTGGTGGGACCTATAGATCCTTTTATCCTCTCATTTTCTATACCTTTCTCTCATCTCTTTTACCAAACAACCTTATTGTTCTTGTTTTACTCTCCAAAAATCTCACCACTCTTCCTTTGCTACCACTTCTCACTTCCACTTAACATAACGGAATTGATACCCTACTTATTTGGTTGCTGGTTGTGGGCTTTGTGGCTATGATGTAATATTCCACTCCAGCCTAAGCACTGCTACTATTATTGTCTTCTGAGCAGCGTAAAGATACCAAAAACCCAAAGATAACGTTAATGGAATACTGATATCTGAATAGGCAGTATAACTGATTTTTATCAACATTATTGATAAGTGGGATGGAAATAAAATTAATGAGTTATAATCTTATTTGTACTTGAGGTGAAGTCCTGAATTTCTATGGCGATTGATTGGTACATGGTGTGGTGGCTTTCCCCCTGAATGAGGGACAATTTTCAGGGTGGATATACACACTGGAATATTGTCTCCCCTTTCTATATGCGGTCTTGGGTAGATGAATAAGAAATGCAGACTGTTAAATCTTTTTCCACTTTTGACAGGCAATCTCGCTTGCGGCTGAATCAAAACGAGAAGAGGAAAAAGCTAAGGGAGTCGACCCAGATAATGGTGGAGAGAACCCAGATATAGTCCCATTTGAGGACAATGAAGAGGATGAAGAAGAAGAGAGTGAAGATGAGGAAGAGAGCTTTAGCCAGGTTCTTGGGGCAAATCAGGGTAGAGGAAGAGGCAGAGGAGTTATGTGGCCTCCTCACATGCCACTTAGTCGTGGGGCTAGACCTATGCCTAGCATGCAGGGATTTCCACCGGTTATGATTGGTGCTGATGGGTCACCTTATGGGCCTGTTACACCTGATGGGTTTCCCATGCCGGATCTTTTCAATGTAGGCCCTCGTGCTTTTAATCCATATGGTCCCAGATTTCCTGGTGATTTTATGGGACCTACATCTGGCATGATGTTCCGGGGGCGACCTACACAACCGGGGGCTGTGTTTCCTGGTGGTGGGTTTGGCATGATGATGGGTCCTGGACGTGCTCCGTGTATGGGAGGTATGGGAGTTCAAGGCACAAGTCCAGCCCGACCTATGCGTCCAGGTGCTATGCCTCCAATGTTTCAGCAACCCCCACCACCGTCACAGAACATGAATCGTCCCCCAAGAAGGGATCAGAGGGGACTGGCCAATGATAGGAATGAGAGATATGGTGCAGGGTCAGACCAAGTCAGAGGTCAGGAGATGTCTGGTCCAGCCGGTGGACCAGAGGATGATGCACATTACCAACTAGGAGCAAAGGCTCGCCAGGAAGACCAGTATGGTGCTGGAAACAGCTTTAGAAATGATGAGAGCGAAAGTGAGGATGAGGCCCCAAGACGGTCGAGGCATGGAGACGGAAAGAAGAAACGGCGAAGCTCCGAAGAAGATGCTGCTACTGGCTCTGATCACTAGTTTATGCCACTGCTTGAGCAGGCAGCAGCGACAGGTCATTAAACCAGGGAAGCCATCTTCGGCTTGCCTGCTTTCTTAGGAACATGATCCAACTTTCATTCTACATTTATATGAATTCTCTTGGGGTATTGAAGGAAATTTGGATGCTAAAAACAGTTTTGCTTACGTTATATACCTTTCTTCCCTCCCTTTTGTTTAAATATATCGCTAGACGTGACATTTTTGTAACTACATACGGGGAAGTATAATTAATTAATGGATATGGTTGATGAGGAACCTCTGGATTGATTTCCATTGACGTATTTGTAAAGCAAATTCTCACATCATCATATTCAGGGGCGATACATAGAGCAGTGTACCAGTTACATATTAAATCCCTCATTAAAAAAAAAAAAAAAAACTCATTTTTAATACGTTTATTTCTTGTGGATTTCCACGTTGTTTGACTTTGACATAGTAGAATTAATCCATAAACCTAGTTAAGTGTGACATCAATATAATAATAGAAGAGAACAAAAATATTAGGGTTAATCTTACAAATAGTCTCTCAGGTTTACCCTCAATCTTCTCGACTCCTTTTTAAAACGTTCTACATTTGATCTGTGAGATTTTATCTTGTTTTAGTTTCGATCATTTTGTTAATTAGGTGTTTAATATTTGACATAATTTGTGTTAATTAGGACAAAGTGGAAATATCTAAAATTTAGAGACTATTTATGAAAATCAACTTTTATTTTTTATATTATTTTAGTCACTCAACTTTAAATGTTTTCAATTTTAATTCCTATTTTTCACATATTCTCTTAAAAATTTAACACCTAGATAACGGAAGAATTGAAACTGAAACAAAATAAATCTCAATAACTAATTGTGGGATATATTAAAAGTCAGGAATCAAAATGCAATTGAAGATAAATCTCTGGAACACAATACTAGAAGGCATCAACTAATGACAACTATACCCGTTGCTTACTGTTAAACTTTATAATCTCATATACAAGTTTACTACTTACAAGCGGGATCCCTGTGTGACCAATGTCACATGAGTATAAATCAGTCAATTTAAAATTGAATGGTGAACACGTAAGTAATGTTTTTGCTAATCGAACACGCAAGTATTTTGATTCACAAATAATATGCATTTGTTCTAAATTAGTGATCGAATGTTCAATAAAATTGGGTATAATGATCAAGAGAAAATTAGGTAACATGCCACAACTAACATAAATCTCCGAATTCGTCACTAATTCTTTGTAATTTGAATTATGTCATGTTTTGTTAACATTGACTAGTTGACTTGTGGTCCACATCAAAAGCTCCAATATAAATCTGAATTACTGAGGGTTTTTATTTTTACTTTTTTGGTTTCCTCAAAATTTCTCAATGATCATGAAAAATTCAGGACTATTACTAGAATTCTTTTAATTCTTAATGACTATAACCATATTTGCATTTTGTGCTCTAATATTCTCGTTCTTTTATAATTTTAAATCTTATTTCATCGTCAGAATATTGCAATATTTATACTAATATTTGTTTATTATTGTTGATGGTCATTTTTGTACGAGGCTTGTTTGATACAAGGCCTGTTTGAGAGTCGAGACCCAAAAAATCTCGTCACTTGACGTAAATGAGATTGCTCCGTGCACACAAATCACGCTCGGGAAACTTGAGTGAGTCATGATTTGGTTAACCCATTATTTTTATCTGGTTCAATTCTAAATAATTTGAATATTTTGGTAGTCAACCCGAAAAGCCACTTGATAAGTTTGCTTCAAAAGGAAGCTGTGATAAATGCGTAATTTGATATAGTTTTCTGATCAATTTTCCCATGTTTCCTAGCAAGATTCTTGAGTATTTTATATTTTTATTGTGTTTTGTATTTTGGAGGTTAAAATAACTTTGGAAACTCAGAATGATCAATTTAGAGAAATTTCGGGTGCTTAAGCTTTGAAAATGAGTGCCACGGCGCTCAAAAACACAAAATCAAGCCAAATTCACGAAATCAATGTGCAGCAACTAGCGCCGCAGCACCCAGCAGAAGTCAAGGTCGCGAAAAATTCTGAAATTGGGGTATTAAAGAGCTCCGAATTCGCCCTAATTTGATCCAAACTTTCCCACTTTAAACCCAAATTGGAAAACCTATAAATAGGTGATTCAAAGGCGGAAACAAACACTTTTTTTCTCATATTTTTCAGCCATCTTAGGAGATGAAAAGGAAGAAGAAGAAAAAGAGAAGATCAAGCGGTAGCTGTGTCACGCCCCCTAAACGGGGTGGGTTACGTGGAGCTCGATTTGGGATTAATAAAGCAGGTTCCCAACCAGGCCCAACACTTAACTGCATTAAAATATGAATAAATTACATTACAGAATCCCGGAGCCTCTGACACACAGGGCTCCACCCTACAGGACATACAGTATCGTACATACATGCTCATGTAAATAATCATTACAACAGACATCAACCACAGTCTAGTAAATCCAAATATTATATAAGTTTACAGAATTTCTCAATTCCTTACATTTGTCTAAGAGGATGTCCACGATCCTCACTTGATTCCAACAGCAGCACAACTCAGCTGCTCCGTAGCAATATCCAGCTACTGTGCACCGCTCCTAGAATCTCCTGGGAGGGGTTTAGTACATTTAAAACATAAAACGTGAGCGAAAGGCCCAGTAGGATATAATTTGAAATAAACATTATAATAAATGTGCGAGGGAATACATAAATAAATAAGTAAATAAAATAAGACATTCAGTCCTGACAAAACAGTCAGAACCTCATATCCTTTTTCTCAAAGGAATATAACTGTAAATAAGCGTTTTACAGGCTTCAGCAAGTAATTAGTACAAATTACTTACCTAACCAAGTGCCTCGCCTACCCGGACCGAGTTTCGGATTCTGCCCCCGAGGATGCACTCTCCGCATCCTATCTAGGCTTACAACAATAGACTCTATTACCAGTTCACAAGATCTCTTTATTAAGAAATCATTCATTAACATTTTGAAATCGTTAATACGACCCCACGAACTACTCAAGCCGCGGGCCCCATGACTAGACAAGCCATGAGGTTCCATGACTAAATAAGCTATGGTTTTCAAAATGTTTTCTTTCACAAACCAATCCCTTTCTTTAAAACATTTTCAAGGCCAAAATCCTTTTTGAAAATAGGCTCACAAGGAAAAGGGATAGAAATCCTACCTCGCACTATCAAACCTGGGACTAGCGTTGCCTTTTCCGGCTTCCGCTTCCTCAAGCCCCTTCAGTCCGAATCCTCAGTGATCACTGATGCAAGACAACACTTTAGGATCAATTCTCATTCCTAAAGCAATCCAAATCTCAATTTTCAACCAAGATTTCTTATTAGTGTGCCCTAATCCATTTTCATGTTTCAAATTATCATTCCAAGGGTTTTCAATCTCAAAACAAGGATTAACAATGCTAATCCACCTATCTCAAGTCCCCAAATGAAGCTAATTGGGTTTTCCCCGAAAACAGGGGTCAAAACAGCAATTTCAGGCCAAACAGGGTCAAACCCCGTGTCAACCGGTCGACCAGTGACAGAGCAGTGCAACACTACCGTCAACCGGTAGTGTGCACACCGGTCGACCGGACCGGTCGACCGGTCAGCCTACAATCTGGTCGATTGCATAGGTCGGCCAGTTTCCATGTGATCCGGTCGACCACACAGGTCGATCGGTGGAATCAGCTGCGCGAGAGAAGCTCACAGAAATCAGTCCAAAACCTGCAAATCCAGTCCCAAATCACAATATTTCAAAGGAAAACCACTAGATCTGGGTTCTAGGTCCTAAAACAAGTCCAAAGAACCCAAGATCTCCAATTTCTAGTCTAGTTTTACTCAAAAACCATCAAAATCTGGTTTGAACCAAAAATGAGTTTTGAAATCTGAAAACGTGAGATTCAAGACAGGTTCTTTAAGTAATCTTACTTTGAATCCTTCTCTTGATGTTGAAAACTTCTTTAAATCTTTCCTTGGTTCAGGATCCGTTTGATTTGGGACACAAATGAGAGAGAGAGAGCGAGAGAGAAAGAGAGAGAGAGAGAGAGAGAGAGAGAGAGAGAGAGAGAGAGAGAGAGTGAGTGAGCGTGAAGGAGAGAGAGAGAGTGCACGGGAAAGAAAGGAAGGAAAAAGGAAAAGAAATAAAAGAAAAGAAAAAGAAAAGAAAAGGAAAAGAAAATAAGGACAAGTGTCAGTATTTTAAAAGAGTAGTCCATAAATGCGCCCATACACACTTCTGGGTTAAAATAAATTACTGAGAATAATTTAAATACCTTGGAACTATTTAAACTCACACGTGTCAGAAACATTTATTAATTAAACTCAATTAATAATCCAGATTAGGCACACTAATAATCTTAATTACCTTAATTAATCTCAATTAATTCTTCAGGGTGTTACAAGCTGTGAAGAGGATCATCCGCATAGAGATTCTTAAAGAATAATCCTAGTTCTTTCGTTCATTCTCTTCTTTTTCTTTAGTTTTTGTTTTGTTTTTCAATTATGTTAAGTTAGGTTTTATTTTGGTTATGGGTGATTTCAAAACCCTAAACATAGATTTGTGATTGAATATTATATTATGATGTTATTTTCCAGTTTTCTATTGAGATTGCTTATGTTCTTCCAATTTTATTGTTGATGATTATTTTTTTGTTTTTTTAGGTGGCCAACTGAATAGAACTTAGAATATTCTATTGTTATATTAGAAATCTTGATCAGTAATGTCTTGTATTCTTAATTATTAGTAGCAAATTATGGTCGATAATTGCGAGAGGCTTTTGTTTGATTGCATGTGGAACATAACCTAGGTTGAATGATCCGAGCTTGTGTGATTATTATCTACATCAACCTATCTTTCTCATCATAATTCCTTTAGATTGAATCTAGAGAGCTTGTTCTAGGTTGTTTGAGGGAAAGGGATTAACTGGAGAGTTTGTTTTGCTTAACAACAAATTAAGGAAAGATTGGGGTAGTAGAGCTTGTTGCTATCTATAGTTGGTAGTTTTGATAGAAAATTGGAGATAATATTGCATTTTCATTATGATTCCATTGTTTAGTAGTGAAGACTTATCCTTTAACCAATGTTTTATTATTATTATTATCTTCTTTGTTTATTTTAAGTTTTATTTTATTTAGTTTAGTTAGTTATTCAAATTCCCTTTATTTATTTTATTGTTTAACAAGATTAATAACTTATTAATTAAACCCAATCTTTTACGGGAACGATCCTTACTCATGTACTATACTTACCACGATCTTATCTTAGTAAGATTTACAAATTTGAGGTATGTTCTTTTCTTAAACTTGAGTTATG